ATTTTATTTCCAATGAAGGTCGCGTTGAATGGCAGCAAAGAATTGTGAATCGTACAGCTTAAAATAGTTAAAAACTATTCAATTACTATTATTATGATTAAATTGCTATGTTATATTAATTATATTCTACTATAGTACTAAAGTATATTTTATATTAATATTTTACATTTGAATACTTAATCATACATTTTTATAAATACATTATGAAATAGTAAATACATATTATCTACCTGGCTTTTTCAATTCTTTTGAAATGTTGACCCATGCATTGTCACGTATGTTCTGGTTTCGATATTCGTCCAGATTTTTCTTCCAGAGACAAGGATACCTGCGTACTTCCTCTATTAGCTGTTCTAGTAACATCGCTTCAAAAAAATGACGTAGTACTCACGAAAATTAATAAAATATAATTTATTTTTATTTTGTATTTTTCAAAAAACCGCTGGTTCTACTTGAATTCTAAATTATAACTCCGTGAAAAATTATAATCGACTGTTCGTTGCTCGTATATCACAGGACACGCTATATTAAATTTCTGATATCGGTACTAGCAATGAACATGCCTGTCAAAACCAGTACGTCGCACGTCGCGACACATCGCTCAAAAATATAGCCACAAATCAAACACTGGGCGACGCGTCGCAACGTAGCTAAGAACAAAACGTAGCGTACACTATTCTGTGTGGCCACTTACGTCTTCAAGATAGAAAACTATTTTTTATTCATATAGCAAACATCGCGAACATAGCGCGTGTAGCTTTCTGTGTGGCCTCAACATAAATCGTTTATTCCTGTCGAATACGCGTTTTTTTGTTTTCGGTGTCTCCGCCCTCGGACGCCTCCGCGACCTCATCGTCTCGATAGCGTATAAAATACGATTATGTGTATAAAAAAGAAACGTACGCACCGTCCATGACGTACGTCATATATGACCAGATCCTTATGTGTATTATACAAAAAAACATCGCAAAATCGTCGCTCTCCGGTCGTTGTAATGCCTTTGATCGCGTACGTTTAGGGCGATATCGAGATGTGTGTATGTGATAATAAACTCGGTACGTCGTTAAGACGTACACGATTAAATAATGTAATGAATACGTCGGAAACACTCTAAACGACAATAAACGTGCGATTTCCGGTTTCACGACACGCGAATCATAAAAAACGTATCGCTTAAACGACGTCTACTATAGTATTCGTTGCATCTCTAAAACGGTTTAAGTGCTCGAAATTCGACTACGGTTTACAACTCAAACTGGTAGTCGATAGTTGTTAGGATAGGTTCCCCGACGTTAGGTAGGCAGGTTCGATTCCCGTTCCGACGAAATTCGGGCGGCTCCATATGAATCTATGCGTATTGGATTTTTTGCATTTTTTTTCTCATTTAATTCGATCGTTATTAATTACTATTATCGTTTTGATATCCAATCTCACACTACTACTCATAAAATATTTTTCAAATTTTAAAAATGATTTTTGATCTCACACGTTTTATTTTATATTGCTCGATTGATGATGTTAAAATATATTACATTACGATATACTTTACACGGACATTAAATCACACAATAGTATTCGATTAAACCAATTGTAGTTATTGCTAACGGTCTGCACACGATTCAAATGTACATGTGTTTTATGCGATTTATATTATGGCCCGAGAACGTTCTATTGATTACGATACAGTTGTTTCACTCTGTCTTGACCGTGAATTCACTATTGTATGTGTTTAGCCTTTCAGTCGTTTACATTTGAAAGATAAAGTGGAAAAACAATTGCACATTTTTTTTTTTTTGATTTTTAAATATTTTGTCATCACAGAAAGTGCATATTTCTTTTCGATATCTAACCATCTTTAAAATATCAAAAAAAATATTAATTATGTATAGTTTTTTGATTTTCAACTCGCTAACGTTTGACATGTATTTTCATTAATACGTTTAAAATCTTTCCTTTACGCTCACATCGTCCGCGATCCGACGCAGTCGGATTGCCTACCTGGGAGGTTCAAACGCGTTTAACTGGATTTTCAATGGTGATCGCTTGAAAAATCGAGCGTTTGATTCGACTTAACCCTTTCGGTCCTGATTTTTTTTTTTTTTAGGAAAAAAATCCATAATTTTTTTCCTTGGTTAAATAGCCATAAATAACTTACTCACGCAATTTCAGAAAAAAAAAATTATTTTTTACCAAATTATATGCAAATTTTCATCACATACTTCTACAAGTAGGTCGGGTTGTATAGGAGTCAAAAAAAAAAAAATTACCTACTTCTACAAGTAGGTTGGGTAAAAAAACAAAACAAAATAATAACAAAACCTTTTAATACGAGTATATTTTAGGAAATCCAGGCAAAACAGTTTGATAATTTATGTGATTCTGCGGTGGGGCTGTAATATTTTCCGCAGAAACATTGTTTTCTTGGCTAATATCATACAACGTAGGCGAAAAAATATTATTATTTATTGATTGCTCACTTTCTTCTGTGTTAACAGCATCATCAATACCAAATAATTCGTATTCGTGTAGCAAATTATCAAATTCGTCAGAGGGGAAATCAAACTGTTCATCTTCGCCTTCAGAAAAATCTGATAAATCCGATTTATTTCATTCATCTAAAAGCTGAAGTATATCACAATCTCTCAAACGTTTGTCTGACATGTTAAAAATATAAGTAATCTAAAATAAATAATATAATCTAACGAATAAATATAAAATAACACGAAAAAGTAATAACGGAAAACAAGAAAAACAAATGACAAATGTAATGTTATCACGTTCACGCCGGTTTTATCTAATGCTGATATATTGTACTCCGTTGTTGCCCGACATACTCGTAGCAGTAGGTGATAAGACTGATAGAATTTGGCGGTAAAATTGTTGAGTTACTGATTATAACATATTGGTTATGGTTGTTACTTATATGTAAACATGTTAACTATTGATTTAAAAACTCCCAGATTTTTAAAATCATATGTTAGATAGTTTTGGCGGGAAATGCAATTATGATTATAATGACCTTATCATCACTATATTTATTTTTTATTTTTTCAAGAAAATAGTTAAAATATTACAATTATACTGAAATATCGATGAATATTATTATTTTTTATGAATGTCCATATAATAAGAATTATTATTTTATAACATTTGGTTTGCTGCGATGAAAACTTTATTTAAAACAATTTATCGAAAGTTGCCTACCTATACGAGTAGGTCAGGACCGAAAGGGTTAAACTTTTTTGCGTACTAAACAGCACAACACGTCTTCGACGTCAGGAGGTATGACAATCCGCCGCAGGCGGATTGCTCTGTCGGGAATCGATATTCACTGGACGATGACTGATAACTAGACACTTAATTACCTTTTCGGAATGTATTTATTTATTTTCCATGCACAAAAGCACAGGGCAAGCTACGGGACAAGGTGTATTACACCTGTAAATTTAATGAAATAACCCACCACTAAACGTTCGAATTGGACTTTTATATACTTTTATTATATTATAAGATTATTATTTACGCGTTTAAAACGACACCGCCAAAGTGTAAAACCACCAAATCAGAGGTACCAACGTCTCAAACATCGTTATCACTGGTTTCGCCTACTAGACTTTTCTAACTGCGGTATTCATAAGTCCTGTCTCCAACCTAGGAAATTCACTTTAAACGATTTTCAGCTACCTAGGGTATTCACATACAGCGAGTTTTACCGACCTAGGGTATTCACTTACAGCGAGTTTCACCGGTGCTAGTAATAATATAAATACAATAATAATAATAAAAGATAATACGACCGTGATAGCACCGAGACGTATATCACCGTTATCACGGAAAGGCCTTGCGACGGAGTTCGTTGACCTGTCCCACGACGTCAAATGTTATCGTGCTGAGGGCGACGCGACAACAGATCGAAGATGGACGAGTGACGTGCAAACTGGTCCACCAAACACGTGATTTATATATATTTTTAAATATTCTTAACGCACGACTCATATGAAGACGACAGCACCACCAAACAGTGGCTGCGCTAGGCGTGGGCGAAGTGGCCATTGCCCACGGCCTCCCACCTCAAAGGGCCTCGTGTTCCAAAGGGATTTATAATTAACCATAGAAAAATATGGGAAAAGTGTCTATACAAAAATTTTTGTATCCATGAAATTATTTTATTGTAAAAAAAAAAATCATAAACATAATAATTATATATATATATATATAGGTACTCATCAATACAGAATACATTTTAGTACCAATGTAGTTATTTTTTGTTTTTCTTTTATTATTATTATATATTGAAAATACACTAGTCAACACGTGTATTGTGTATACTTTTGTTGCCGAATGTTATATTTCGTCATGAGTCATTACTATACGTACCGGATCACACTATGCGTTTTGTCGGTTGCCGATCGGCAAACGACCGCGACTTCTATAATTAACATATAAACCGCGTTATCGGGGCTAGACTGACCGATTTGGCGAACCGATTTTATCTAAATTCGGTAACGTAATTTCATTTTGACAGTTGTTATTAGTTCAATTGGTTGTGTTTTATCCTCATTTCTGTATCGATCGACTACCGAAAATCATATTCAATTTAATAATAATATTTAACGAAGCAAAAATCATACTACACGTACCTAAGTTGTAAGTATAAAACTTTATTAATTGTGTTTATATTTTCCATTGTCTTTTTCTATTTTTGTAATATTAGTTATATCATGATTTTATTATAATATGAAAATAACATAATCAGCATGGAAAACGATTTATTGTGACAAAATAGATATATAATAATAATTTTTTATAATAAGGAAGTATGGAAATATTATATTTTAGTATGTTGTATTGGAAATGTTAGTTAAAACTTTAAGAACTAGTAAATAATTGTAATTTGTAATCAACTATTATTTGTATTTAATACTTTTCATACATAATTTTATAAATATTACATAATAATTTATTATTAAAATGTAATTAACTATCCATATATAGGTATCATGTCTGGATCTAGTAGAGACAGAGATACAGGTCGGAAATGGGAATCTGGTGCTTCCAAAAGAAAGAGAAAAGCTGAAATGATGCAAGTGAACCAAGCTATGAGTACTGGTATGATGAAATTTCTAAACAAAACCAGTACATCAACAACAGCAGACTTAGACGAACCTAATGCCAAAATGGATTTAAATGAAGGAACTTTATCCAATAAAATTTCAAAATACAATAAAGAATTGACAAAAGAAGTTGAAACTAAGTCTGATCTTGAAATTTCTCCGGCAATAAATACTTTTGAAAATAAAGAAATTACACTTTATGTTAACTCTAATATAAATAATATTTGCGATTTAGAGATGCACAAACAAGAAATTGTTTTAAGTGAACCACTAATGAGTTTAGACCCAGGGAAATGGATGTTTCCTTTATCAGATTCACAGCGTCACAATTTAGTTCAACATGGTCCTCAACAGATACTAGATGTTTGCGATGAAAATTATCCTTTAGACAATAATAAGAGACATTTTTCTAACTTCCACTATACAAGAAAATTAAATAATGGCGAAACTCAACACCGCAGATGGCTAGTTTATACTCAATCTCAAAATAAAATATATTGTTTTCCGTGTACAGTTTTTTCTAATTTACAAACACAAATGATTCGTGAAGGATGTTGTGACTGGAAACATCTAAGTACAATTTTGCAAAGACACGAAATGAACCAAGAGCACATGGTGTGCATGATTAAATGGGTAGAATTTGACAAACGAATTAAACTCGGGAAACAATAGATCAAGAAAATGAAAGACGGATTCGTGAATCACAAAAGCATTGGTACAATTTGTTTGAAAAATTAATTAATGTAATAAATTTCTTAGCCTCACACAATCTGTCATTTAGAGGTCATCGAAAATCAATGAAGTTAGATGATAGCAATAACTCTGGAAACTTTATTGATTTATTAAAATTATTGTCCAAATATGATCATTCGTTACAGAACCATTTTCAACTAATTAATGAAAAACAACTGGCTCAACATTATTTGAGTCATGATATCCAAAATGAATTAATTAAACTTATGTCTAAAAAAGTAATTGAAGAGATTATTAGTAAAGTAAAACTAGTGAAATATTATGCTTTCATGCTCGACTGCAATAGAGACATAAGTCGCGTTGAACAGATGTCCATTATTTTAAGATTTTGTAATACGTCAACCGGTGATGTAGAAGAACATTTTATTGGATTTATTGCTGTTGATTCAACAACAGGAGAACATTTAACAAACATTATTCTACATGAGCTAAAAAGTAATGGTTTAGATATTCAAGACTGTCGTGGACAAGGTTTTGATAATGGCGCGAATATGATAGGAATAAACAAGGGTGTTAAAACACGAATATCGAATATTAATCCAAAAGCATTCTTTGCATCTTATGGTTGTCACAGCTGGAATTTGATTTTTGTAGATGCTGCTAAGTCTTCCATTACAGCTAAAACATTTTTCGGCTTTATTTAAAAAAATTATTTGCTCTTTTCAAAATCTAGTAAACGATTGGATCTTATAAAAAATAAATCAAAACTAACATTAAAGTCTTTATCTGAAACAAGGTGGGAAAGTAGAATTGCTGCAGTCAAAGCAATATTATTTCAATTTGACGATATCATTGATTGTATAAATATACTTAAAATGCAAATAGTAGATGCAGAAACTCTATGTGATTGTGAAGCCATTTTAAAAGAAATGTTAACATTTGAATTTATTGTTGCAATACATGTGTGGTATGAAATTTTACTACGTGTAAATAATATAAGTAAAATCTGTTCAAGTTAATTTAAAAATGTCTGTTGATTCTTTAAATAATTTTTGCAATTGGATTCAAGAATATCGTGATATAGGGTTCAATAAAAGTATTATAGAATCTCGCCAGTTCATAGAAAAAAGTAGTTATGAAATTGAATTAAATTTTAAAAACAAGAGAATAGCAAGGAAGAAAAGCTTAGAGTTGACTTTTTTAACAGCATGATTGATGGAATTCTACATGACATTAAATGGAGTTTTAAATCATTAAATGAATACTTTGAATATTTTGGTTTTATTTATGACATGAATATTTTAAGATCCATTTCCAAAGTAGACTTTTATAAGCATTGTTGTGATTTAGGTACAGTTCTTCAAGAGGGTGAAAAGAGCGATATTCAATCATTTGAATTATACGAAGAATTACAACTCATAATTTCAAGTTTACCAGACTTTATTAAAGATGCAAAACAACTTATCAAATACATAATAGAAAATAATTTACAAGAAATATATCCAAATATTTATATAACAGTCAGAATTATGCTCACTATTCCTGTCAGTACAGCTTCAGCAGAGAGGAGCTTTTCGAAGCTTAAAATAATTAAAAATTACCTACGAAATACGATGACACAGGAAAGACTCTCAGCATTAGCAGTTTTGTCCATTGAAACGAAAATTGCAAATAATTTAAATTACGAAGATATACTTAAAACATTTAGTGAAGCAAAAAGCCGAAAAGTCCATTTCTTGTAAATAAAAAAAAAATGAAACTTCTAACAGTAAAAAACTAATAAATGTTGACACCTGGGGTTCGTAGAACTATTGGTTTTTGATTGGGTTGGGTGTAAAAGACAAGGGTAATATTGAAAGAAAGTATTTTTTATTGTTTTATTCGGAAAATTGACACAATAGCAAATTATATATAAATACGAGATGAATTGAATGGGACTCGAACGTGTGGTATAAGACAATACAATGCCAGAATTACTCCGACTATTGTACTATGGAGGCCTTTTATATATCAATCGAGTACAATGCCGGAAGAACTCTGACTATTGCACCATGGATTGGATATATACCGCACGTTGAGTCCGGGAGGGAGACTGCCTTTCGAGCCGTGCAAGTCTGCCTGGGTAGGTCTTGCTCCGGCGCCGGAAAGGCAGTGAATGGTATCGGTTCGACCTGTGCTTTGCCCTTTTATACTCATCGCGAGGTGACAACGGCGTACTGCCAGGCGATGGATAAAGCAGTCGTTGCGACCGGTCGAACGATGTACAAAGCTGGATAAAGATAAGAGGGACAATTAATAACAATTTTTAATGAGGTTGATAAATATTTGGGTTGTACAGATAATGATAATTTAAATATGGATAAGAATAATTTTAGTGTGTATATATATATATATATATTAGTGGAAACAAGTAATATTAATTAAAAAAAATATGTATTTCATTTTATAATTATGTATAAATAAAATTATATTAAGACTACATTTGCAAATAAGGGCGGAACTCCTTTCGCCCAAAATTGACCTTCCTCTTTTTGCCCACGTCCTCTTTTCGACCAAAAATGAAAAAACAGTTTCCTCTTTTCGCCTAAAAATAATTGTATTCTTTTTGCCCACGGTTTCACGTTTTAAATTTTGGAAACCACTGTCTCAAAATTAATAATTTTAAAAAAATCATATAATAATCAAATAAAAAAATAGAAAAATATATAATTATTAATAATAATTAACAATAATTTAAGAAGTGTATAAGTATTTAAAATAGTGTCATCGATGTAAAATAACTTATAAGTAATTTGATCAGGTTATAACTTAAATAAATAGTTTGTTTTGTTGTTGTAAAATAATACAAATATTCATATTAATTATGACTTATAAGTAATTATAACATTTATTAAAGTGTTTTAAACTATATATTTCGATAGAGAAGTCGGCACCTTTATACACTTTCTCGACTGACTATATTAATAACAATCAAAAACCCTTCGGTGCACTAGACCGGCCAGGCCGATAACAATATCTAGATTACAAATATATTTGATATAACATAATATATTTATATATATATAATATAATTTAACAAATTTGATATCGATATGTAACAATCATAACAGCTTTAATTTTAGTATGTCGTTCACTTTTGTGCCGAATAGTGTGATTGTGATTTTTCTCATGATTATAGTAACTAAATTTTATAAAAATGGAATTTTCAGAAAGTAAAAGAGGTGCTCGTATGGTTCTTTATAATAATTTTAAGTACAATTTTGGATCGACTAATAAAAAAGACAACTCTACCCGTTGGAGATGTGTAACAAGAACGTGTGATGCAAAGTTATATACAGATAAAAATGATGCTTTTATTTCAGCAGTCGGAGAACACAATCATAATGAATATGATAAATCGAATATTAATCGCCAAATAATAAACACAGCATGTAAACGAAAATCTTTAGAAGATCTCCACACAAGACCGAAAAAATTAATATTAAAAGAAATTGCTCAAAACGACGCATCATCATATTTAAACGTAGTTGATATAAAAAGGTTAAGGAACAATATGTATAAATCTCGTGCAAAAGTCCTCCCTCCTAACCCTACTGATATAAATGAAGTTCATCAGTATATTAACGCAACTGAAATAAACACTACGAGAGGTGAACATTTTGTATTGAATAACGATGAAAATAAAAATGTTATAATATTTTCCTGTGAAAAAAATTTACATTTCTTGAGCAATGTTGAAAACGTATACGTCGATGGCACGTTTAAATATTCTGCAAGATTTTTTGAACAAATGTTCACTATTCATGGATATAAAAATGGCCATTATGTACCATTAGTTTTTTGCCTAATAGTTGATAAATCGGAACATACATATGCATTTGTGTTTAAAAAAATCATCGAAAAATGTTATAGTCTTGGATTACGTTTATCACCGTTAAAATGTGTGGTTGATTTTGAATATGCGATACATAAAGCAATAAAAATTGTTTGGCCAAATACGGAAATAATTGGATGTAGGTTTCATTTAACCCAATCATGGTGGATAAATGTGCAACAATTTGGTTTGGCTACACACTATAAAGACCAGTCTTCAGATGTCGGTAAGTGGATACACTACACGTTTGGTTTACTATTTTTAAATCCTGAAGAAGTAGGTGATTGTTTTGTAGAAGATTTAATGAGTGACTGCCCTGAAAATGAAAAATTACAAAAGTTCTGTGATTATTTAACTGATAACTATATATCCGACGAAAGTATGTTCTCACCAAAGCTTTGGGCAGCTGAATCATCAGTTAATCAGAACAACAAATGTATGCGAGTCCTTTCACTCATTTTTTAACAAAAGTTTTTATAGTAATTCTCCACCAATTCATATGTGGTTGGCTATGGTACAAGAAATCCAAACTGATGTTTATATTAAATTAAATAGTATCCACTTACAACACTTTCCTAAAGATAGACAAGTAAGAGAACGCCAATTAAAAAACGAAGAAACAATAGAAAAGTACAATAGAGGAGAGTTAAGTCGATATGAGTTCATTAAATCAATGGCATTCAATTATACAAAAAATGTAAATACAAATTAAATCCACAAATAACTTTTTTTAACGACGTCATAAAAAAAAAAATGACAATACCTAAAATATTATCTTATATTAACGAACT